TGGCCAAACTGAGCAGGAATTTCTTCCTCGTTGGTCTCAAGGGGTGTGGTACAGTTGTCATTTAAAGGAGGTGGAACACTATGATACCCTAGACCCTTGTTTTGATTATTTTTAAATGTAAGTTGTTTTTCTATCATTCATGCAACTACCTCACTTGACACATCAAATTTCTTAAACGTGAATTCAACATCATTGTATTTAGCTTTCAATGCATCAAGTTCGGCAGTTAATTCGGCAAGTTGTCTCTTAACATAGTCATAGTTTTCACATTTGTTATTGTATTCCTCTTGAAGGGTTCTAAATTCATTTGTTTTGGTCTCTAGTTGTGCTTTTAGGGGTTTTTGACCTTTCCTTAGGGTATAGCCTTCATATTTAAGGTCCTCATTTTCTCTTTTTAATATATCAATTTGTTCACGAAGAAACTTAATCATAGTTTCACAAGATTGAGAACATGAAACTTCATTGAACGGGATGGTTCAGGAACTCATTGTTTAAAAAATTGCCCTTTGACTTAAAACCTCAAAAGTCAACCTTAAAAGTCAAGCTTAAAAAGTCAAACTTAAAAGTCAACCGAAAAGCTAAAAGTAAAAATTTGAAGGTTAAACGAGAAAATCAAAGGTCAAACTTGAAAGTCAAAGTCAAAATTTTAAGGTCAAAAGTCAAAAATGATAGTCAAAAATTAAAAGTCAAAGCTTTGGGTTGAAAATGGAATTTTAAAATTTGAAAATTTGATTTTTGGGCTAAAATTGTCAAAAATCCGAAAATTGGATCGAAATAGCGAAGCTATATGATTTAATTAGGGAGGATGTTTAACATGTGGCTTGCTAAACCAAGTAGTAAGGTGTTGGGTTGTGTGTGTGGGAGACCCAAGTTCAAATCCTTGCACTCCCATGAATTTTTGAATATTTGCTGCTGACCACAAAGGAGGACCACACGCGCAAGCTCGCTTGGATCGAACACGTGCTGGAGCCTCTCACCGAAGACCGATCTCGACCAAGAACCGTTTCCGACCGAGAACGAGACATGCCATCGAAATCCGACCCGCTCTACAGAAAACCCGCCTGACCGAACTTGCGTCTCCGGACCGAAAACTCTGTGGGCCGAACGATTGCTGGGCCGAAAATCCGAGGAACCCTAATTCGTGATTATGGCCGCCGCCGAGGTCTGACCGAAAACGTAAAACCCTAGCCGTAAACAAGCGTAAAACCCTAGCTGCAAATGAGATTTCGGCCGTAAACACCTCAGATCAGACCCTCGCCCTCGCAAAATCTCGAAGAAAAACACGATTTTTCACCTTTTTAGCTCCAAAACTCGATTAAAAAGTCGTTTTTATGAAAAACACGAAGAACAAACCCACAATATTTTGTCAAAAACTATCCAAAAACGTAAAAATTCTTTATGAAAAAAATGCAAAAATGCTCCAGATCTTGCCAAATGATTGATACAATCCAAGCTTTGATACCAACTGTAAGTCCCAAATTTTGCTTGATGTATCAATCAGATCCACTTGATGGTGCGGAATCCCAATCAAGTGGATGATGCAAGATCAAATGGAGAAGAAGGAGAAGAAGAAGAAGATGAACTTGATGAATCTTCAATGTTTTTATGATAAGAATGAAGATCCAACATACAAGATCCAAAAACACACACTAGTTCTCTCTCTAGCACTTGACACTACTAGAATATAGGCCTTTAATGACGCGCAAACCATGACACGCAGTGATTTACGATACGCAAAATTGTGTGCCCTAAATATAATGTCACCTCCCCCAAAATTTGAAGGATTTAAGTCATGCATTTCTGTGTGACCTAAAATTAGTGTCTGAACTAAAAAAAATAAAAACACTGAGGGCGCCTGTTATAAAAAGTGTGTCGTGCATGCATGTCGCTTTATAATTATTAAAATGAACGCGCGGACTATTTATCTTATAACAAAATTGTACGGACCATTATCTAGGGCTTTTTCAAAGGAGTTCTCTCTGCAAAGTTCGCTACCTCTGCTCGCCTTCTGCCGGCGACCATCACTCATCTCTTCTCGCTAGCAACCTTGGGCTTACCTCACCTCACTGAGACTACGACGACTGCTTATATTTACAAGCCTTCGTTTAAGAACCAACCATTTATGGCTCTTCACGCTTACAAATACTACGATTTAGGGCTCGTTACAGTGTACATGTGTCGGGCTTACAAGGAGATGAAGGGTTTTATGACTTCTCCATGTCATCGTCTCTGAAAAAATGAAGCCCTAGATAGGTCCAATTCAAGCAGCGTGTAAGGAACAAGTGGCCTTGCCTCTTCCATAAATCAAGTTGCAAGAGGCCTTAGTTGCTCCTCCCATGGTCTCCTCTTTTCCATCTTCCATCCAAGATGTCTTCGTTCTTCCTCCCATCAGGTAAGTTGTTGGACCATCTCTACTGCTCATTCTCAAGCATCTGTATTCTCGCTCTCTTTTTTTCTTGATATTTCTTCTCTCTTCTCTATTATCCCTTTTCCGTTCTCTATTTTCTGTTGAATGATTCTTTGTTCAGAAAACTTCAATTGATTCCATAAATCAGAGTTGTTTCTAGGTTAATGTTTATGTTCGACCTTCTCTAAATGGTATCATAAATCTGTTTAGGATTTTAAATCTACTTAGGATTGGAAGAATTATGTCAATTAGGCATAAACATAAGTTGTTTAATAACTGAAGGAGAATATAAGATGCATGAATCCTTGTTAAATTGGGGTTTAATTCAATATTTGTGAATATAACAACTTGTTTGCATTCTGATTTATTGGTTGGGGAAACGATGCTTTGAAAAAGGTTTTTCTCTCTATAGGAAAGAATTCATATGATATTTCTTAATTATATTGACTAAAAGTTATATTAGAATGCAAGTTTTCTTTGACAAAGGTTTTTTATAGTATCATGGGGTCATCGTTTCTACAACCCTCCTTTTTATTATTCTTTTAGAACTTGAATTGTTGTTTGCTCTCCTTTTTATTAAGCTAAAGCCTTGCAATAAGTCTGATTGAAATATATCCTTAACATTTAACATAAAATAATAACCATTTTGACACCAAAAAGTGATAATTTTAACAGAAAAAAATGACCACTATTACTAGATCATATATTGACTATTTTGACAACAAAAATGTCTTTTTTTTTACAACAAATTACACCAAGGAATGTGCATTTCTTAAAGTAACTTTTCTATTTTTATTGTTTTTTTGTCTTAGTTTTTTATTTATATGGTTATCAGGTCCTGCAAGATAAGGGCATTCTCATATGGGATGGTAAAGCATCAATAACCTACCTAGACAGACAAGTCCACATCTTTTTATCATTGTAATTGGCATGGAACTTGTTTTTTATTTTTTAATTTATATCTTACTATTTTATATTGATTTCATTCATACTTTCAATATTGGCTTGGTGGATAGTGGATAGAGAAGAAGGTGACATGGGATGTTCTACTCCACATTTAACTAATGTGAAATTTTCATTTACAGGTGACAGAGGCTCTTGCAAGCGAAGGACTCATTGAGAACATCAAAAAGTTTCTCCGGCTTAAAGTCTTCAAACTGCACCCACCACAAATCAATCTTACATTTCTTACTTCTTGAAATCAGGCCATAATTTTCTCAAATCTTTTTCAACTATCATTTATCATGTAGAAGCTTACATCATGTAAAGTGAGGAAACCGAGAACCTGAGATTGAATGACACAACAAGGGGAACAACACCTCTAAACAAGCTGTATGCATGCAGAATAACCCTGTCTCCCCCAGGTGATCAGATCTACCCTCTCATGAAGATCACTTCATAACATAACATAACATAACAAATTACAAACTACAATGCCTATATATATATATATATATATATATATATATATATATATATATATATATATACATATATATATATATATATATATATATATATATATATATATATATATATATATAATTGGCTACATTTTTATTACTACAAAACATTGAAATAACAAACAAACAAATGCTACTTCTTGCATTATATACCTTTCATCTTGACTGTAGAAAGTTTGTACAATCCCAAATCCTAATATTCTTGCAAAACCATCGTGAACCTCAGGTTCCATAAGAACATTCATGTTTTCTTGCTTTAATCGAGCTAAATGTAAGAAATTGCTATGTAGTTTTTATTTTCATATATTGGTGTATTACATTTATAAGTTATAACATAATAATATAATATAATATCCCCTGATGTCAGGCTCACACTGTGCTGGAAATGAACTACACTGAACAACAACTAACAACAGCTGTTGTGTCTGAAGGTTTAAGACCTGGTCTTGCAGGGACTGAATCAGATGCAGCACCAAGATTACTATCTCTGATATAAAGCTGCTGGGATGCTGACATGCACAATAGGCCTTCATTTGATGATATCATCATGGAAAATAATAAGATATTAAAAGTAGAGGAGAATATTCTCCCTCGTTCATCCTCAAATGATGAGATTGCTCAGATAATCCAACCTTATAAAGAGAACATCAACTGGTTTATTCAGGGTGAAAATATTTTGAAGACTGCAAATGGAAATGTCAGTCGTCTAGGTGTGAAAAATCAAAATATTGAGGCGGATAATTCTTCAGTGTATCTTCCAGTTCTATTATGGGGTTCCTTTGCTACATGTGGAAGAAGGGAGTCCATGGAGGATACTCACTTTCTTATGCCTCATGTCGAGAATCAAAAAGATGCTCATATGTTTGTAATCTTTGATGAGCACTGAGGTATATAAATTAAGCTATGATTGTTTTAAGTATGTTGGCTATTATTTATGGTTACAATACATATTGGTATTATGTAGGTGGTGCAGCTGTATAATTTTGTGTTGGAGAATTCAGAAAGGAATGAAAGATGCAGCATGTGTGTGTTTCATGGCATGGACAACCAACTGTTAGAAATCGTTTAAATCAAACTGATCTAATGTCTATCTTTTCCACATATTGCTTTTCTAACATTCTTTAGCATCAATGATAGATGTCCCAGGGACCTGTGAATATGTGATGGTTTCCCGTGAGAGATCTGGGTTCATATTGAACATCATTGACACATCAGGGATTGTTGAAGGAGGTTATGTCAATGACCAGGCTCTTGACCTCATCAAAAGGTGTGTAAAATCTAGATTGAATATTGTTAATGAATTGGGTTGGTTTCCTTAAAATATTTCTGATTTTGCTGGTTTTTTTTGAACAAAACAATAAATGTTTTGTTATCGATTGGATGCGTATAGAGTGGATAACTTGGATAAATAGATTGTGAAGGCAACAACAACGAGTTTTGGTAAAGAAATATGGCATAAAGGAGTGGTAGTGCTAACACATGCTCAACTTACACCACCAGATTGTCTTGGTTATGATGACTTCTTTGGAAAAAGATCAAAGGCTCTTCTAAAAATTGTAGAATCTTGAGGTCGTTTTAGGAAACATGAAGTTCAGGTACTTAGTCTCTTTTTATTTGTTTACAATTTCTTTAATCTGATTGTTGTGGATATTTTTTTGTAGTGGCAGTCAATTCCAGTTGCATTGGTTGAAAATAGTAGTAGGTGTAATAAAAATGATTACAAAATTTGCTACATTAATAAGTTAGATTAGTTTGATTTCCGCAAATACATTAGTAGGTCGCTTGAAGTTGATTTCAAAGTCGTAGTTGGAATAAGGTTGATCATTTAATTTGTTTCCATTAGTTATTGTTTAAAAAAATATGTATTTAATTTTTTTGAAATTCTTTATTGTAATTCAAACATGAAAAACTTATAACACAATTAAACCTTCGTATTGCAGTCCAGTAGTATGGTTTTTTGCCATTCTGTTGCTTCTCACCAACAACCATGGTAAACAGTCACAAAGTTATATATAAAAAAACTAATGTTGTTTAGTCAAGTTTAGAAAATTATTATTATTATTATTATTTTTATATTTAAATATAAAAAAACTAATGTTGTTTAGTCAAGTTTAGCAAAAGGAAATAGTGTGATGGTGTTTTTTAATACATTGAATTCAAGCCGAGCAATTGACAATTTCCTTAGTGAAAACCAACTTGCCACTGTTAACTATCATGGCGAGGTACCTGCAGTTGAAAGGTAAGATTTGATTATTAGTGAAATGTCTAAAATACCCTTCCATCATTGTATTCCATACACAACTAATAATTTTGTGTTTAAGAATAATGTAATTTACTAATAACAAGAGCTTCAGGGACAATATCATAAGGGGGTTCAGGGCCCAATCGGTCAACCTTACACCTTATATATTTGTTAATCTGACGAATCACAATATTATTGATGTATTGAGATTTTATATATAGTAACTTTTTGAATTCAAGCGATGAAATAACAGTGAATCTTGGTTACTATATAGTCGAATTTTCCTAATTTTGACAAAAGTAACTGATTGATGTTTTTTATTTTTTTTTAAAGAAAAATCTTTAAAATGGATAATAACAAATTGGCTGCCTGAACATTTTCAATACTTTTAAGTGATTGAGTAGTAAATGTGAAACACCATTAAGGCCATATGTGATGTTAAAAAGATATTGGTAATACCCTTTTTCAATATAAGATGACACATTGTAGAGGTTGTTTCAAATTTTTAAGGAGTGAGCATTTTAATACAAATGCTGAGAAATGACCAGAATACCCGTAGCACATGTCTTTGATCATATAATATTTGTTTTTGTTTTGTTTTGGACAGGTGGCAACATCTATATCCTTTTTTTCACCTGGTCAAACTTCATCTTCCAAGACTCAACCACCACAGAAAAAAGCCACCTCCAGCAGCGACTCAAAACACTCGGGCAGCAGCAGGATTCTCCGGCAGGGCAAGCAAAAACATAGACTTCATCCAGGGTTGTTGTCCAGCCAGGATCGTGCTACAGCTCATTATGGTGCTGTTATGGGCCTCAAAGCCATAGAAGATGGCATGTATCTTCTAAGTGCAGGTTTTTTTTTTCAAAATGCAAGAATAGCATTGATTTGTTTATTATAGCATATCCTATCAATGTACTTTGATGGGTAGATAGTGTGATGCCCGTTTCTTATTTTGTTGAATATGTTTTAGGGTCTGATTAGTTTCTTGGTGAGGGACATGGATTGGAGGATTTTGGAAAAAATTGGTAAATTTGAAGAAAGTAGGGGTTTCAGAGCTTCTGCAGACAGCTTAATGATGAGTTACTGAAACAAGAAGGTGCCCCTTTATAGCAATGTAGTATTAGGTTATATAGTTAGGGAAAACCTCTTAATAACAATATACAATCATATCCCTTTAATATCAATGTATTACAATTTTTTGACATGATGTTACTGGATGAAATTGATTGTTTTGGTATATATTTGTTTCTATATTTCTGTATTATGCATCGTAAGGGCACGTCGTATATGCATATTGTAAATGGTTGCTGAAGTTTATGACACGCAAATGCGTGTCATCTTCATTTATGATAGGGGCTTTAATCATACGCAATGCGTGTCCTAAACGCGCATCGTAAGGTTATGACACACAAATGCGTGTCGTCTTCCTTTATGACAGGGCCTTCCTTGATTCGCATTGTGTGTCGTAAATGAGCGTCGTAAATGCGTGTCGTAACTGCACGTCGTAAATGAGTGTCGTAAATAGACGACGCGCAAAAGCGTGTCGTCTTTCGTTATGACAGGGTGTTTCTTGACACGCATTTGCGTGTCGTCTGAGCGTTTTACGACACGCATTGCGCGTCGTAAAAGGTTGTTTTTCTAGTAGTGTGATATGAATGAATGCTCCTCCACTTGACTCTCCTACTCTCCTCACCCTTACATCTATAAATATATAGGGAACAGTGACTGTAAACACGTTTACGACCGTAAACATGTTTACAGCCGCAAACGAGTCTGCAACCGCAAACACACCATGAGCCGTAAACCCAAGGCTGTTTTCGGTTCTAGACCAAAAACTATTAAAGCCTAGAAAAGTAAAGTATAAACCATATTTTTAGACCCAACAAGTTGTCTCATACACTTCTTCTCATTCTTCAACAGTCTTTCAGTTTGTTCATTGACATTTTGATTGTTGGAAGGAGTTCCAATACTCTGAACAACAGGAGGTGGACGGACATCACCAGAGAATACACTTCCACAATTCTTCATCGATCTCGTTCAAGTAATCCTCCACACGATCAGCATCGAAATCTTCATTGATGAACCAAGGAGATGAGAGTAAGACGTCATCGTGTTCATGTCGAAGTTCGCAATTGTCATACGGAAAGTTTTTGAGAAAATCTCAAATTGGAATGAGATCAAACAGCTAAAATACTCAGAATACACCAATCGAACACTCGATTATACAACTAGAACGAGATCAAACAGCATTCCACTGTGATTCCAGTATGTGATACTTTCTAATTTGGGCGTTAAAACCCTTTACCTTGTGTTTATGATTGAATGAATCTTTGAGTTTATGGCTTAATTGCTATTTGGACTGTTTATTCTTATTTAATTTATTTTATCAAGTTTGATTGCAAGATCCATATGTGTTAAAGATTGTTACTTTGTTCCCTATTGTTGTATTAATAGAGTTTAGATGACCAATTTGACTGTGTTAATTTGAATCATAGTTGTCGATGATCATTGGTAATTATGACTAAAGTGGTAAACTTTAATGTGTGTGCATGAGTAGATGACCATTCTATGCATGATTTAACTTCTATGACCATTATGGTTAAATAAGATCAAATCTTACTTAATACGAACTAGATATTGATTTGCATGATTGTTTGTTCAATTGATCAATGAGTTAATAGTTGTGTAAATATCAAAGGATTAGTAGTCCGACCATGATGCTAGTCATATTAGGATTCAGTGAATAATGAATAAATATCCATTGTATCAGTAGTTAGCCATTATTTTGAGATGTAATTTGTATAAATCAAAGTACCTAAAGAGATTTGTGTTCAGTCAGTTTAACGAGATTTGCAGTTTAATAGGTTATTTGAGATTTAATTTAATAAAAGGCTTATTGATTGCTTTTGTGTGATTTGTGTAACCTATTATCAAGAATTCCAAATTAATTCATCATCGTTCCCCATGTGTTTGCCACCTGGTCTTACCACAACTATACTATTGCACGATTAGGTACAATGCCTAGTGTGTTTATTAGTCTGGTTAAGATAAAATCAGTTTTATAAATTTAAAACTTGAGTAATCAAAATATATATAAAAACACACATCAGTGTGGTGTTTGAATGATCAGATCGTAAGGTGTGACCTTACACTTTTTTGTCTTTGTTTTGTTTTTTTAGGGTTTTTTGGTTTCTCTGGTTGTAATTATGGTACCAATTCATCGTTGTCTTAGGAAGGTTGGGTATGAGAAGGTTGGGTATGATAAGGTTGGAGTTGTTGTTGAAATTGTTATGGGTGGGTGTTTTCTTGGAATATGAATTAGTTTGGTTGTAATAGAGTTGGTTTTTGGAAGATTTTTTAGAAGTAATTATGTGGATATGGACATTGGAAAAGGGATTGGTGTTGAATTGGTGAGCCTTTTAACATATTCATGAACCCACCGGTGGATAAATCGAAATATGGGTATTGTTTGGGTGTTGTGTTTAGCACGTATGAACCGATGGGTGAATCGAAATTTGGTGTAACACCCGGTTTCAAATCGTTTCATTATTCATGACCGTGACCCGATGGCCAGTTATCATAAGGCTTCGAGCCTGAGGGAAGACGAATTTAGAACCTTTTGGATGTGGGTATCATATATAAGGTGATCCATAAGTTCGGTTCGTGTTTTGGAGCCAAAGGGTATATCGGTAAAGTGGCGGATTCGGGCCTTTTATGGAATTTGGATTTTAGTTCGGGAAGTTTTAGGGTAAGGGAGGTTAATAGAAGTGTAGAGCTTCTCATTACCTTTCTGTAGATATAAGGATCTTCGGAATTGGATGTAAGACAAAGAAGTTTTGGCCATTAAAAGTTATTAAGGATTTGGGGAAAGCCGTGTACGCAGGGCATACAGGGTGTATGTTGAGCGTACAAGGCACAAATGATCACAGATCACCATCCTTGTACATTGGGCGTATGTGGGTCTGATGCAAACCCTGAATTTTAGGGTTTAGGCCCTATTTGAGCCTCATTAACTCTTGGAACCCTCCCCATTTGCAGCCTCCATCGCTCTCAACCTATTATATCGAAACCCTAGAGAATATGGAATGTTTTGAGCCTAAAAGTGTGTTTGTTGGTGTCTTGAGAAGAAGAAATAGAAGAAGAAGAAGAGGAACACTTGGAGTAGTAGGTTGGGCTTGTAGATCTAGGATCACCTTCTCATTTGCAAGCTTTTTGAGGTAAAAAGCTCACACATTGATGATCATTTAGGTTAGATCTACCTTGTGGTGTTTCTTGGGCATTTTTGAGTCTTTTCAAGTAAAAATGAGCTTTTGGTCTACTCCAGGTTCAATGGATGCTAGATCTAAGCTCCATTCAGGCCCTAGGTTCATAAAAATGCAAACTTTATGGATGTTATTGGTTCATGCAAGTGTTAAGACCTTTATTAAGCTCTTTTGAGCTTTGACTCCCATTAAACCATGCATGAGTGTAAAGTTTCCAAATTTACGTGATAAGTTTACCTTTAGGACCAAATCTGATAGTTTGGCTTGAGATCTCCACTGATTAAGTGCCTAATGGATTAGGTTGGCAAACCGTGGAGTACGCTAGGCATACCCAGTTGGTACGTGTTGGGTTTTAGTTCAAAAATAGTTTCATAAACTAGAAAAATATGGCAACGGAAGACTTAAAATTTGAACATAACATAACATTTTATACCCACTAAGGATCTCCTTGCAAGTTATCGAAAGATAAAATACCAACCATAGAAACGATGAAGAAATAAAAATATTTGTTGTTCTTTGGATCCTCTTGGGAGGCTTGGAAGTTGATAAAGAAGATGGATGCTTTAAGACACCAACAATGACCCAACTTGATGTAGATGCTAGTCCAAAACTCTTAACTCTTAAGGTTTATGTTCTTATCAAAATAAGAACATAAAGAGAGCAAACGATGCAAGTGTTCTTCAAGTTTTCTAATCAAAACTAGAGAGAATGAGAGAAAGGGAACTAGTTTCGACAACTAGAATTAAGAGGAAAAAGATGAGTGCAAGACTCATCTCTTATATGCATAAAGTGAATTTATGGACCATAATTCCTTAACACTTTAAAAAAATAATGTCTCCTAAAGCCTACTTGTCTCCCATGCACCTTAAGACATGCCATACTTTCCTTTAGAACAATAAAAAGCTCATAAAATTCTTCCTAGAATCATATTTAAGATTGTGAGAACAAGGAAATCTGATGCGCAGGAACAAGATTTGAGAACTAAAACCTTGAGTTAATGCTTAAGATCAATGTCTGCTACTAAGGAATGTTCCAGTCAAGTCTGGCAAGACCAGTCATGTCTGAGTTAATGCATTCAACAAAGTATTCAAGATATTAATGAAGAGTGAAGATATTGATCAAAGTAAAGATAATAAATGATGAACAAGAAGAATGTTTGAGAGAATAACTTGAAAGGTGAAGTAAACTAGAATATTACTATATTTGTTTGAACAATCTGTCACTTGATTTATCATAGAAAGCTCCTTTAAATAGGAGAACATAATACATCGTACAAACCAAATACAAGCATAGGACCGGATAATATAGATTTTTCTGAACCTCTGATTATCTAAGTTTGACAAAAGAGACTAAGTCCTATGACAAGTTAAATCAAGCTAAATGAAAAATACAATTAATTCAAACGGACAAAAGAGACTCTGAAACTGCTTCTGACTTTGGAACACCATCTGACTTCAGAACAGGTTTACCATGGAACATACAAGGATAGTGATTGCTAGAGGTTCACTTTCAGGTTCCAACAATCTCCCCCTAAGTGAGCTTAGAAATCTGGTAAGTTTAGCTTGAATCTTCCTTGATGAAAACATACGCCGTGTACAGCCATTCTCTAACCGCAATGTACCATTTAAGCTGGCTTACAAACTTAGCCTTCACATGCTCCGGAGTATCAGACTTGGATGCTCGACTGATGAACTTTTGAAGAGCCTTAGTGGGAACCAG